TGATTTAAGATATGGATGGTCGAGGTCACTCTCATGAGGCCTCCAGAAGACATGAGGAACACGTTCTTGGAACTGGAATGAAGGTGATCCTTGTGTTAAAGTGACACAGAACTTGTCCGAACTGTGTTGTAGCATTTTCTAGGAAGGTGCATCTTGGGAGCAGCGAGAGTGATCTTTAGCTGCGGAGATTTCAGAGCAAAGTGTTGGAGGAGAGGTTTGATTCCTCCTGAGCCTTGCGGTACAAATGCACAAGGAGAAAGATGAATGGAAGAAGGATTGCTAAGCAAACAGGAGTGGGAATTTGAAGATTTGGCAAATTCTCCGCTTTATTCACATTGCAAAGTGAGAAAGCTTGATCTAAAGGGAAGAGTAAGGGTGTGGCTGAACATCGGGGCTGATGAAGAGATCGTGGGTGAGACTCATGAATGACCCAGCCATCTCTGTGGGAGCCGGGAATACAGACGGGATGACACCAAACGGGACAGAGGAAGTGGGACAGAGTGAAGGCGGGGCTGTGGCATTTCTTGGATCCTACAGGATCTGACCACACAGCAACTCAGCTGTGGAGCTGCTGTTCTTCAGGGAGAGGGAATAAGGATCTTGGAGGTGATTCAGAGGTCATGACAGCTGTCACTCCCACCACTGGTCCAGGGGCAAGGCTGTTTCCCCCTTAGTTTCAAAGGCTGGGGCTGTGTCTCTGGTTTCTGCCAGAATGACCCCACCCAGTGCCTCAGGGGATGGCACTGACCCCACTGCTCCCCCAAATCCTTGGGGGTCATGCTCTCATCCCTATGGGCCTGCAAGGCCGTGCACTGAATGACAAAGGATTATTCTAGAGCCTTTAAATCTAATGGAATTTGCCGTGCTAGGTTTTGGATTTACTTGGGATCCAGCATCCCGTTCTTCCCTCTGAAGTTTCCTTTTTGGAATGGGAATGTCCATCCTATGCTTGTCCCATCATCGTGTGGAAGTACATAATTTGTTTAGTTTCATAGCTTACAACTGGAGGAGAATTTGCCTTGGGATGACCCATGCCTGATTTCAATGATATTTATTATTTTTTTCAAGATTTATTTATTTATGTTAGAGAGAGAGAGAGAGAGAGAGAGAGAGAGAAAGCGGGGGAGGGGCAGAGGGAGAGAATTCCAAGCAGACTCCGCATTGAGCAGGGAGCCTGAAGTGGAACTTGATCCCACAACCCTGAGATCATGACCTGAGCCCAAACCAAGAGTTGGACACTTAACCGACTGAGCCACCCAGGCGCACCTCCAGGATATTTAGGGAGACTTTGGACTTTTGATTTTATACCTGATGCTAGAATGAGTTAAGACTTTGGGGGTGTTGGGATGGAATGAGTTCATTTTGCATAAAAGAAGGACATGAATTTTGGGCAGCCAGGGGTGGAATGCTATGGGCTGAATTATGTCCCACCCCTAATTCATACGTTGGAGTCCTAATCCCCAATGTGACTGTGTTTGGAGACAGGGCCTGTAGGTGCTAATTAAGGGGAAATGAAGTCATAAGAGCCTGAGTCCCATAGGAGTATGGCCTTAAAAGTAGAGGACAGAGGGAGAAGGCCATCCACAGGCTAGGGGGAGAGTTTTCACCAGGAACTGAATGGCCAGCACCCTGAACTTGGACTTCCAGCCTCCAAAACTGCGAGAAATAACCCTCTGTTGTTTGAGCCTCCGGTCTTTGTCACGGCAGCCCGAGCTGGGCGGAGGACTGTGGTGTGTCTGATGATGGCAGCTTTCTTATCTTGTGCTGAACATTCCCTTGCCCCCTCCCCCACCCCCACCAAGATGTTCCTGGAACCATTCCCATGTTGGCAGTCCGTCTTGTCAATCAAAGTGTCAGCTGATGTTACCCCAACCCAATCCCCAGACACCAGAAACAGCCCTCCCGGCCTTGATGCCATCCCGGAGTGTCTTTGCAACAAAAACCCCACAGCTTTGCCTCTTTTTCATTTGTTTTATTAGCATCAATATATACAAAGTGGAAAATGACTTAACTTCATTATTGTAGCTTAGAAAGTTTGTTCTGCTTTTTATTCTGTTTGGGGATAAAATGAAAATGAAAACGTCCCAGGAGAAAGCCTACCTTTGAGGGTGTTGAACAACTCCATGACATCTGACCTCACATGACTGCCCCCTCCCCACCGTGACTTCTCAAGGGCATAGGAAAGTCATACCCTTTGGATTTACCCCCCAAGAAATGTCATTTGTGCCCGAGGCTCATGCTCAGCCTAAATCTACCCATCTATTTGCCAACTCACTCCTGCTTATACAACCCATCCTAATTATGTCTCCGCTTTACTTCCTGCTGGGCAGTTTGTCAGTTTCCAAAGCGATCAGCCTGAGTTACCAGAGGCTTTCCAAGGAGCTGGCTTCAAAAGATCACATTTAAAGCAGGTCTATGGAACTAACGAAGGATGGCCCTCAAGTTGCGACCAGCATACTTATGTCGGCTTAATAATTCTACTCCCCCCCCCCCAAAAAAAAGCAAAAAGACGAGCTCCAAGCTGAAGAGGATCAAGTGTGTGCATTTTTAAAGCACAGGGCGGTAGCTGACAGATACAGCTTATATGACTTAGCATGTAATACACACCATCACATGCATTCTTCGAAGCTCGAGATCTCTGTAAACGTTATTTCCCCACTGTTTTAAAAACAAAGAGTGGCTTGTAGGAAGGTTCGGTTGGCTCTTGAGTTGCTCAAGGTTGCATCCTGTTCAAAATATTTAATCCCAAGGGGTTTTGACATTGATCTTATAAAAACAGACACGTATGAGCTGAAATGAGGTGCCCAGTACATTTTTGGCACGAATATTGTGTTTTTACCTTTACATATTACAAATACACATTCAGATATTCTAAAAAGAAAAACAGACGCCAACCTGTCTTTTCAATCACACTGTACATTACCAAGCTCACAGGATCCATCTTTAGGTGAAAATAAACTTTCAAAACATGGTCATAGGTGCTGTACTACGAAGACGAAACTAAGACATCAGTATCCCGAAACAAACAAACAAACAACAAACAACACCGTTTCTATTCCTCCAACATCCAATAAGGACTCTCGGCCTGTGGCCCAGCCACTTATTAGGGAACATGGTTAGAATCAATATTCTGTCTGTCTCGACAAAAGGTGAATGTTTAGTTTGCATGTAACCAGAGTACGTTCTAAAATTAAACATCAGTAATAGAGTTCTTCCTTCCAGATGACCCAGGGTTAGGGTTAGAAAAAGCAAAGACTGGATTCTGCCTTTAAAAAAAAAAGTTTACATTATTTGCATTGTTGGACCTTCTCCAAATACAACATTGCTTACTAATGGTCTGGAATGATTCTACTCTTTTTTTTTTTTGCATAAAATGGGGTGGGTTTTGGGTGGGTAGAAAGCAGCCTTTAATTATCTCTTGCTGTGCATATGACTGCATGCCTTAAGGAGCATATAAGCGGGATTCTTTTCTGGCAGAAGGAGAGAACCGGGCCTCAGCTCCCCCAAGACTGAAGCTCAAGCTTCTAGCCAAGAGGAGACGATGTGTTTGTCAAAATCAGCCGCCTTACCCTGCTCCAGGGCTGCCCAGATGAGCTACCAAAATACGGACTCCCAGCCATTTTCTCAACAGCATGGCAGCCAGGAAGGGCTTCTCGTGTCGGGAAACCAGCTGATATAAAACATTTATAGCGAGCGTGGGCGGGTGCCAAAGTGGGCACCCCAAGCACCAAGCCTGTTCCTCTGTGAGCCACTGGCCATCATCAGGGAGATGATGGACCCCGGGGAGGCAAATCGACTTTACACATGCTATCCCTTCCTTGCGTCCTCAGCCGCTGCCTTTTCTTTGCACCTGTATTATAGAACCTTCCTCCATGGTCACAGCCTGCGTACCCCCTTCCAACATCTGGGCAGAGCTTCGGAGAAGAAGTTTTTTGTTTTTTTGTATTTTTTCCTCATAGGACCCTCGCTTCTGAAATACGGGATTGCAAGTATATTCCGGCCCCTTTTGGAGAAACGGTGCATCTGAGTTACCCTTATTTGGAGGCCTCAGGGGTTTCAGTATTCCCGGAAATCAAACCGAGCCCATCTCTGGATTTCAGGACCTGGCATCGCCCCCCACAATTGTAACCCTTGTGATTATGTGGCTGAAGCTTCCCAAGGGGTCCTAGGTCACGGCTTGGGGTGGGGGGGCTGCTGAACGAAAGGATCGGTTCTGGCACTCGTGGCATACATTCCCTTCCCTTTCATTACTGGTGGAATGTCAGAGGAAAGGACATTTTATTGACTCGATGTTCCCCCCCACCCACCCTGCACTCCATCTGAATTCTCAAATCTGTCATCTACTCGGCAATGTTTTCTGATTCTGCCAGCATCCAGGGAGGCCAGGCTGGTGGATGAAAACGCTCATGGTCACGCCTTGAGCGCCTTCGGGAGGATCATGGGAGGGAGAGGAGGGGGCGAGACCTTCTAGAAGCTGATAGAACATTTGGAAGAGCAGACCGGGATTTGTTTTGGAGCAGATCTGTTCAAGCTGAAGTCCGACCCAAGTTAATCCATCAAGAAATACCTTTCCCACCTACTCCTGGGTCCGGGATTTGTCCTAAAAGCACCGTGGGCATGGATCCCCAAATGCGTGCCATCTGATGCGGCCAGAGCAGCATGGCCGCCGCTGATGGAGAAACCCAGCTGCTTTTTTTTTTTTTTTCCCCCTCCCGCCTTTGCTGCCATATTGGTCATTTTTCAGGTCACCCCCCTGACTTTGGAAAGGAGATTGTCACGCAGATTTAGCCGCAGCTGCGACACCTCCAACCACACCAATTTCGACTTTCAATATAATAAATACAGCAAAGAAAACAGTGAATCTTCAAGAAAGAGTCTAAAGAAAAGACAGACAACATTCTGGGGTTTCAATCAAATGCCACGTGGTCTCTGGATGAATTTCTCGAGGAGGTTGTAGTTGAGTTCTGATCTGTGAGCTCTCTTCTCAGGCATAGCTCTCCTTAAATGGAAACTTCATATTCCCTGGTTTCCTGCAAGAGAAGGAAGCACAGATCGGGGAAACTGCTGGGGGACGGATCCATGGGCAGAGCGTGCCCTGAGAGCCTTTTGTCCTAGCCAAGGAGGTGAGGAACGGGGAGAGCAGAGCCGACTCAGCCGGCCAACCACCCACCTCTCCCAGCTGTGTGAGTGAGCACGGCTGAGCCAGGATGACAGCCCAGAGGCCGCTAGCTGAAAACCCTGCCCCACAGACTGATGAACAAATTAACATCACTTGCCTTGAGCTACCAAGCTTTGGGATTATTTGTTACTTGGCTTTATCATAGTGCTGGGGAGCGGATACACTCTACCTAACAAGTATTGATATGATCTAGTTAATGAAGTGCTCTTTCTTTGTTTTGTTATCAGCTTGACCTTCTTCTCAGATTTGGAAACAAGGTCTATAGAATGTAAAATAACCTATGATCTCTTCTTGGCAGAGCCATATGGAAAATGACCCCAACATGTGGGTGGCAACCACCCTGGTTTCTCCAATATTCATCAAGAGCACGTAATATACTCCAGGCCTCTGAGCAAAAGAACTGGTTTAGGAAGGTTTAGGAGGTTTAGGAAGGTTTAGGAAGTCAGAGGCTTGGCCCCAAAGAGGTCATTGTCACATGCTTTCACGGACATCTACTGTGTCTGCTGGGTCAACACAGATAAGCAAGCGCGTCTGTGGTAGATGGGAGTGTGGTGGGAAGACTCCAAGCTGGGTCCTCTCACCTCCTGGTGGTCACGTTTTTGCATGATCCCCTTTCCATAAGTGTGGGCAGGACTTGTGATTTGCTTCTAACCCATAGAACATAGAGAAAGTACTAGGATGTCTTGGCCATACGTCATAGTGCCCTGACCAAATTTTTCATGGTCCCTAAAAATGATTTTTCACAATCAAGATACCCATTGGTATCTATTTGATTGTTTGAGGTTCAAGGGAGGCAGGATAGTAGAATGATGAATGGCACCAGTCTGAATTTGTATCTAAGCTGCAGGCCATGCTTTTGGCTGTGTGCAAGCTTGGCCCAATCATTTGTTCATCTCTCTGACCCTCAGGATCGTCATCGGTTCATCAGAGATAACTGCAGAGTGTACAACAGAGTTGCAGGGACTCGGGCAGCTTTCGCATTTAAGGGGCCCAGCTCATGGTACATATTCTTCTTCTTATTACCGAGCTCTGTCTCCTTTGAAGGATTATAAGCTCATTAATGGCTGGACTGGGTCTGTTGGATTCACGACTGTGTCCCTAGTACCCAACACAAAGTCTGCCACCTAAAAGAGAATAGAGACCAACTCACCCCCGTCTCGTAAATGGGGTTGTCAAACTCAGTTTCCACGGTGATCTGGCTGTAGGGGTGGGAGTATATCAGAGGCAGGCGGAGGTTGGAGTAATAGCGACATCTGGAGAAGGGACAGCAAAGGAGAGAGGAGTTACTCCCAATAGCGGAGAAGAACAGTGGGCTGGGCCCCCATCCAGGGTCTCTCACAGTGAGAATCCAAGTGGGTGAACACCGAAATCATAACTGCTCTCAGCTTGTAAGCTGGTCACTGACAACTAAAGCCTCGGTACTTCCCCTTCCTGGGGAGGGCTGGAGCTCAGCTGGTTTTCCCCTGTAAGGTGATTCGAGCTCCTCTTTCACGCAGGGTGACAACAGCAATAATGAGCATTTACTGAGCACCTACTATATACCATGTTGCCTCAGAGCAACCTTCTTTACCTATTTAAAAAGTGGTTCTTCTAGGGGTACCTGGGTGGCTCAGTGGGTTAAAAGTCTGCCTTCAGCTCAGGTCATGATCTCAGGGTCCTGGGATCAATTATCGATTGTTATCGATAATAATAATAATCGATGGGCTCTCTGCTCAGTGGGGAGCCTGCCTCCCCCCACCCCGCTTCTCTCCCTACTTGTGCTCTCCCGCTCTGTCAAATAAATAAATAAAATCTTTTTAAAAAAAGTGATTCTTCTATTACTACACACTCTTTCCTTTCTTGTGTTCATCACGGCGTGTTATAGTTCGTGTATTTCTTCTCTCCCTCTTCAACACTGTGGGCTCCACAGAAACAGAAAAAAATGATATTGGGCAGATGCCTGCCTCAGGGCCTTGACACATACTGTATATGTGCCCAGAATTCTCTTCTTCCAGATATTTGCATAGGTTACTCATTATTGCTTTCAAGTCCTTACTCCAATGTCATGTCTCATTTGGAAGTCCTAAGTGCAATCACCACCCCTACCCTAGCTCCTTTCCAGCTTTCTTTTCTCCCTGCATTTATCACCTCCTAATGTACACAGTTAGCCCTTGAACAACACAGGTTTGAACTGCGTGGGTCGACTTAGATGTGGATTTTTTGGATAAATATAGTACGGTCCTGCAAGTGTATCTTCTCTTCCTTAGGATTTTTTTCCTTCTTTTTTTTTTTTTTTAAGATTTTATTTATTTATTAGAAAAAGAGCACAAGTGGGGGGCTCGGGGCAGAGGGCGACGGAGAAGCAGGCTCCCTGCTGAGTCGAATGCAGATGCTTAACTGACTGAGCGACCCAGGGAATCTTCCCCCAACTTATGATTTTCTTAGTAACATTTTCTTTTCTCTAGCTTACTTCATGGTAGGAATATGGTATTGAGGTGCCTAGATGGCTTAGTCGGTTGAGTGTCCAACTCTTGATTTCAGCTTGGGTCACGATCTCAGGGTCAGGAGATCAAGCCCCAAGTCAGGTTCTGCACTGGGCATGGGGTCTGCTGGGGATTCTCTCTCTTCTTCTGCCTCTACCCTGCCCTCATCCCCCCATGTACATACTCTCCCTCCCTCTCTCTCTCTGAAAAAAAAAAGAACATGGTATATATTACATATAACACACAAAACACATGTCAATTGATGGTTTATGTTATCAGAAAAGCTTCTGGTCAACAGTAGGCTATTGGAGTTAGGTTTTCAGGGAGTCACAAGGTATATATATGCAGATTTTTGACTCATGGGGTGTCAGCACCCCTCATCCTCTTCGTGTTGTTCAAGGGTCGACTGTATATACTTTTCTTGCTGTCTTCCTCCCATTAGAACCTGGGCCCCACATACCAAAGATCTCCTTCTGTTTTGTCCACAGTGATGTTCCTAGATCAGCCCCCCGCCCCCAAACTGCCCGGCACACAGTAGGTGCTCCATAGTTGTGAATTTGAAGGAATTCGTGAATATCCTAGCCATGGCTAAATATCTTCCTTCCTCATTGCAGGCAAGTTCTAGGATCCTCAACACACAGGACAATGTCTGGTACGTATTAGATTGTCAGCATATGTTTGTGGCCTAAGTGAATGAATGAATGAATGAGTGCATCATGGGATCAGTGTCTGTGTGTCTATCTCTCCTGCTAAACCACAGCCCCTTGAGCTCAGGGTAGTGCCTGCTTACTTGCTGCTGCGTGGTCGGCCCTCTTGTCTCAGAGGGGTGGGAGGGGATGAGCAGGTGTATTTCTCCCAGAGCTGAGTTGAATGACATCATCTCCAAGCACCCAAATGCCACCGGCCACGAGCTACTGCTGGAGACCCTGTCCCCCAGTGCGCTGGTCCTTGAGAGGATGGCAGTCCCCCACGCCCTGTCCCAAAGCCCCCTACCTGGTGATGTAAATGTAGGCTCCTCCCAGCAGTAAGGAGATGATGAGCACTGGGATGAAGATAGCCAGCGCCATATTTCCCCCTTCCAGCGATGTCTCGGCTGCCGCTTCTGCTACTAAACACACAAGCCAGTGAAGCCCTCGGGTCTCACCACTCTCAGCCCGCACGGGCACCTGGGTGCCAGGTGCGAGCCTGCCTTCCCAGTTCTGCACTCATTCAAAGAGCTGGCATCGCAGACCCTGAGCCGTTGGACCACCATCCCCAGGGGGAGAAGAGGCAGAGAGTAGAGCAAATGGGACTGGTTCTTTGCAATGGAGGCCAGACCCATCCTTGGGTGGGGTGCTCATGAGGCTACCCAGAAGAATGACACTCTTTTAACCCCTAGTCATACCATGTCCACTTTTGGGGGGGGAGGGGATGGGTGGCTGCATTTGAAATCTGGTTAAAGTCCAATTCAAGGAGAAATCTGGAGAAAATCTCTTACGTGCTAACTGGGAAGGCAGATTTGCTCGACATTCCATGGGAAAGGGGGAGCTCCTTGTGCCCAGACTGACAGGCGCCTCCCATGGCTGCTCTATCAGACCGTCCAGGAGAGGGCGCTGGGCAGCTGGGCCTGTTCTCAGTCCTGCACCCCGTCCCCCCATGACACCCCAACTTCCAAGACCCAGTTTTGATTCTCAGAGGTCACGGTTGCACCCTCTTGGCCTCACTTGCCCCCCACCCCCACGGTTTGTGGCAGTTGTAAGGACTACGATGGCTATGGTGGGGCCCAGGGGCGTGTTCTCCGCACAGCCTGAAGGGAGACCCCACATCTCCGGACACAGGTCCTCAGGTTTTCGCTGCCACTTCTCCCCGGCCGCGACCCTCAGAGCTCGGCTGTACGCTAATCTATAATCCATTAACCGCCACTCCAGGGAGTCTGAAAAATCGATGCTAACACCCATGACAGATGCATGAGCACAAAACATTACACAGACGCTCATAATCTCCGAGCAACCCAGGCCTCTGAGACGCTCTCATGGTTCATTGGTTGCCGAAAGGCAGCGAAGGGGTGGCCTGAATGGAGGCTAACGACATGGAATGCCCTCTCTGTTCCCTGCAGAGTGACTCCCACACGGTCCACCTGTGCGCTTAACACTTGAGCCGGGCTCTGCCTGTTGGGATTAAAATGTCATCTGCCGCGAGGGACAGCAACTAATGACCCGTAATTCGCATAGCCCCATAGCCCCACATTCCGAGTGAATGATTTATTGTCAGAAAGCTAAGTGGTTCCAAAAACAATGATAAAAATGGCTTAATTGGTTATAACTTTTTTAAAAATAAAAATAACACGATATATACATACATATATATATACACACACCTTATGACACCACAGCCCCAGTGAATGGTTTGGTACCCAAATGAATGGAGGTTCTACAGAATGTAGACTGTTTTATGTGTGGAAGGGATTGTAAGGGAAGGGAACCACAAAATAAAAACCCAAACAAAATCCTAGCTAGCATTTACTATCTGTTCCCATTAATAAATCTCACTTGGGGGGCGTCTGGGTGGCTCAGTGGGTTAAGCCTCTGCCTTCAGCTCAGGTCGTGATCTCAGGGTCCTGGGATTGAGCCCCACATCCGGCTCTCTGCTCAGCAGGGAGCCTGCTTCCCCTCTCTCTCTGCCTGCCTCTCTGCTTACTTGTGATCTGTCTCTGTCAAATAAATAAATAAAATCTTAAAAAAAAAATCTCACTTAGTAATTCCTGAGAGGAGACGAATAGAAAACATGGAGGATACAGGGACAGATAATTTGAGGAAAATGGACCCCAGAGCATGCCCCAGGCAGACAGGGGGGTGCTCGGCACAGAAGGCGAGGCATCATTGGATTTACTTTCCCCAAACAGCACTGTGTGGGTGCAAATTCAAATGGTTGGGTTGTGCCTCACTCAGGCATGTGAACCCTCAGATTTTCTTACCTCAAGAACAGAACTGGTGAGAAATCCCTTTCAGGTCATAGTTAGGACCCTAGGCTGCAAACAATGGTTTGTGTCTTTTACAATGTCCTATTTTTGAAATTACCTTCAGCAGTGAGAAGATGGAATTTCTGCTTATTTTTTTAAGCAGCTGGTAGAGGACATGCAAGGACCTGCCCTTATTTTCTGTTATTAGCTTGATTTATTGGATTTTTTTTTTCATTATGGAACTCACCTTCTAATGCGTGTTCAAAGCTGTCTTGATTAACTGAAAGGGAAATTGGAAGCATTGGTTAATGTCGAGTGAATTCACTCTGCATAAAATGAAGCCAAAAAATTGGGAGCAAAAGCCTGTGCCAAGCTTTGCTGAAGTTAGTGCTCCGCTTTGATTTATCTTGGGCTCCTGGAATTAGCAGAAATGCCTGGACACATTTCTTTCCTAGGTTCCTGAGAGATCATGACATAGATATGAAAGAAACAAGGACAACAGTACTGCCTGTGATTAATTATGAAAACACTCACCGTATGTCAGATACCAAGCCAAGAGCTTTCTGTATGTATTTGCTCATTTACACCCACACCAATCTCACTGCGTGGATACTATCATCATCCCCATTTTACAGATGAACAACAGAGGTTCAGAGAAGTGAAGCAATTTCTCTGATCTCACATAGCTTCCAAGGGATGAAGGCAGTCTTCAAACCAAGACTGCTCGATTTCTCCAGCCTCTGCTCTTACTTATGTCGTAGTTCTGCTTGTTTTTCATTGTTCCCTATGTAGGACAAAAGCTGATGAACAGTGAAGCTTAAGATAAAGCCCTACATCCAAAATCCAGCCAGAGCTGAAACTTTTCCTGCTTTGAAATACATGTTTATATGAACCTCTCTGATTTCACTTCTTTTCCATATTTATGTGAATATTATTCTTATTCCCTGCAAAACAATTTCCATTCACCACCACAGACTAGAACTACCTAGAATTCACTCATTTCCCCATAGTCTCCATAAAACTTCTCCAGAAGTTCAAGATGATAGGGACTGGCATTCCCAGGTTTTGGCACCAAAGACCTCATGGTAGCTGAGCACCAAAATATACCCACATGGATGGGTTTAAAAGAAGCAACCCCCAGAGTGAAGGGCTTAGATAAACAGACTGCATTCTACAGGGATGGCTGGGGATGGCCACCAAAGGCTTAGCTGTATTCACGCCCTAATACTGAAACTTCCTAATTTGTGCCTCATCAAAGTCACTCTTGGATGTTGGTCATTACCATGTGATGCCAACAGAAGCAGTTGAAAAGCTAGCTTACTAACTAACTGACTGCTGGTTATTTCTGGAGCTATGGCATTAGGAAAATGGAAAGACTGAGACAGATTTTGCCCCAGACGTGAGCAGGACTTGGGTTGGGTGTGTCTGGGAGTGCAGGAACTCCTACTGTATCTCAGAGCTGGAAGGAGACCTTGAACTCATGTCTCTGGGAGTGTGGTCAATGACCCTCTGGGGCACACATTAAAATGCAGCCTCCTGGGCCACGTCTTTTCCTTTTATTTCCCACAAAGGGAAACCAAGGTCAGGGAGGGAGGGTGGCTCGCCCAAGGTCACACAGGTGGTCCACAGCCCAGCCAGGAGGAAGCCAAGGGATCCTGAGTCCCAGGCAGGTGGCTTTACATTGGCGCTCAGTCACTTTACCAACTCTAGAACACAAAGCCACACATCCCACTTTTTCTTGGAACAGGAGGTGATTTGTCATATCCTTATAGAGTTGTGGGGTCTCAGGAGTGGAAACAGAGGGGAGAGAAAGATGGAAGCATCCCCCAAGATCCTTTCGTGCCAGAAACTCTGTCATGTCTGAGGAAGAAAGTGAGGGGCAGGGGACCACTCACCTGCTGGGCCTTCAAGGGCTTGCCTATCTCAGGGATGCAAAACTGAGCACCTTTTATCTTTTCTTGCATTTTTATCATGTATTTTCGGATGGTAGTTCTATTTTCCCATCAGATGGGCAACGTCAAAAAAAAAAAAAAACAAACAAACCCCTGATAATATCTAGTGCTGGCAAGGATGTGGGGAAAAGGACACTATCACACATTACTAGAGGGGGAGGTGAATCACTACAGTTGCAGAAAAGAATCTGGCAAGATCCACAAAGCGTCAGCATCCACAGAACTTTGCCCATGCCAAATACCCCTTGAAGGAATCTGTCCTATTTGATGAGAAACGCCAGCACCCAAAGATTCATGAGCAAGCCGATTTCTGGGCAAAAAGAGACAAAACAAACAAGAAACCAGAAAAGAACTGGGAGACCCACGCACAGAGGAAGGAGTGAACGCATCAGGAGACATCACAGTGTACAAAGCCACGTGGCAATTAAAAAGATAAGACAGGGCTCTATTTTTTCTTTTTTCCCTCTTGACAGATGTGTGTGATAAATGGGGGAACAGAAAACACAAAGTACGTATGGTATGAGGCGTTTTTTTACTTGGCAACACACGAACACTCCCTGCCCACTCTTTGCAGTGTGTCTCTTTGTGTCCAGGGAACTGGGGAGACTGGACTTTCACTGGTGATCAGTACCAGCTTCCCCAGCGAACGGACAGAAGGGATGGAGAAAGGAAGGGAAAAATGGTTAATGCTTCATTGGCAACTTTGGTTTCTTTTATTTCTTGCATGAGATACTTTTGTAGCATATCCAAAACGGAACATACACAGTCAGGAGGCAGATTACATGGAGAGTCAAAAACGGTCCTTCCACGGTGTCCTTACTTAGTTTTTTTTTTTTTTTTTTTAAGATTTTATTTATTTATTTGACAGCGAAAGAGGGAACACAAGCAAGGAGGAGTGGGAGAGGGAGAAGCAGGCTTCCCGCTGAGCAGGGAGCTGGATGTGGGCTCCATCCCCGGACCCTGGGATTATGACCTGAGCCAAAGGCAGATGCTTATTGACTGAGCCACCCAGGCGCCCTCCTTAATTAGATTTCTTAAAAACAAACCCTATTAATTTCCCTCCACACAGAACACTTACCAACAATACCAGATCAACTCCTATGAATGTCCCTGTAGCAGTTAGAAGATTTATAGGCAATCTTTCCCCCAAGAAAACATCCCAGTGTTTCACCTCGACAAAGTGGATTTCCTGCACCATCAAAAAGAAGTCAAGCACAGGGCTAGACTTTGTCAAAAATTATGGCAGGGAAGAGGAGGGAGGCAGTTGTCTTAAATCTCATTTGCTGATCTTTTACTTTTTTCCTGCATTTCAATGGGATCTCTTGCCCTCTTATTAAGAACTGCTTCTATAAGGTCTTGGCTCTCACGGGATAGGCTCTGGCTTGATTCCAGGTGAGAATACGCAGCATCTCTAGGCCAGTGTTTCCCACACTTGCCTGAGGATAAGACTCACCGCTGCTGCTAGTGACCCTGGGCCCTGGTTCCTGCCCTAGACCCAGTGACTTAGCATCTCCCCTTCAGGGGTCCAGAAATCTGTTTATATTTGTATCTTATGTTCAGAAACCATTGCCTTAAGTGTCTCAGATTCAAAGTGCATTGGAGCAACCCAGAGCTTGTTAAAATGCATATTATGGGATATCCTACCCCTCAGTGATTAAAATTTTGTAGAGCTGGATTAGCAGATTCAAGAACGTGTTTCTCATAAGCAGGCTGGGTGATTCGAATGCTGAATGGGGGGTTGGAAGCCACCAGACTCACAGCCTTGAAGTTCACCCACCAGGCAGCTCACTGGGGAAGAGACGGGGACTTCACAATCAGGAGATGTGGGTTCAAATCCCGGATTTGTCTTGTAATAGCTGTGTGTCTTTGGGAAAGTCACTTAACTTCTCTGAGCTTCTCCTTTTGTAACCATATGGGTAAGATGCCTCATCTATCTTAGAGTGTGGTCCCGAGATTTAAATGAGGCCATTCAGGAAAAAAAAGTAAAAACATTAAAAAAAACATAGGTAAGGGTGCCTGGGTGGCTCAGTTGGTTAGGCAACTGCCTTCAGCTTGGGACATGATCCCCGGGTCCTGGGATTGAGTCCTGCAATGGGCTCCCAGCTCTGCTTCTCCCTCTGACCCTCTCCCCATTCCTGCTCTTTTGCTATCTCTCAAATAAACAGATAAAATCTTAAAAAAATAAAAAACAGAGATAAATTTCATATAACATAGAATTAATCAGGTTAAAGTGTGCTATTTGGTGGCATTTAGCACATTCGCGATTTTGGGGAGCTACCACTTCTCTCTAGTTCGAGAACATTTTCATCAGCCCTAAAAGGTAACTTTGTACCAACTAAGCAGTTACTCTTCTCTCTCCACCCCAGCTCTGAGAGCCACCAATCTGCTTCCCTTCTCTATGGGTTTACCAATTTGGGATATTTCATATAAATGGAATCATAGGATATGTGATCTTTTGTGTCTGGCTTCTTTCCCTTAGCATCATGTTTTCAAGGTCCATTCAGGCTGTGACAGGTGTCAGCCCTCCATTCCTCTTCATGGCTGAATAATATTCCACTATGGTTAGGCCACATTTTATTTGTTTGTTCTCCAGTAGATGGACATTAGGGTAGTTCCCATCTCTTATGAGCAATGCTACTAGGAATATTCATGTACAAGTAAGTACTTGTTTGCAATTATTTTGTGCCTCTACCTAGGAGTAGAAATGCTGGTTGGAAAACATTTGTAAGGCTTAATTGAGGCTGAAGTTCATCACAAAGCATCTGGGGATCCATTGAAGTTATGGGCTCCCAAGTAGAAATGTAAAACTCCATGATGCCTCTGTCGCTGTTGGGGAAAGAATTCAGAACTTTCTGCCTCATTCTCAAAGGGGCATTAATGCCATAAAAGGCTAAGATCAGATTTAGGATATTGTTATTAATTGTATACCTCAAAGACCTGGATAAACAAACCCAAATCTCACTGGCTTTGTCAAAATTTAATTTCGGTGATGAGTGTTTACTGATTTTAAAACAAGTTTTCCCTCTTCACCATCTCTGGGATGGGGGTAGGTCGGTCTTGCAACCAACGGCATGTTAATTTTCTGCCACCAGGTGGCGCTCATGATGCCTGTGTGTGCGCCTTCGCCCATCACAGCATCATCAGCGTTTGGGGAGGGTGAGAGCGGCCGGGGAGACCACCCCAGGGGCAACCGGGGAGCCCTCGTAACCCCTGGGAACCAAGTGGTCATGAAAACGGGATGCAGGAGGCAGGGAAGGTTTAAGCCGCGTAACCGAAGCAGGAGTTCAAAGCAGAATGGCTCTCCTTCATGATAAAAATCTCAGCTCGAAACAGAGCTGTTAGTAAGTAGAGATGAAAATGCTAAGCCAGGAGAAGGCATTGTGCCATCGTTTCATGGACAGCACTTTTTTCTTTCTTTCTTGGTGCAGAAAATAAGGGCGGTATCTTAGATGTCAGGAAATACAGTAGCTGGACTTTTGAGAGCGAATTGAGATTCATAGCAAGAAGCCAGACTGGACGTCTCCTGCTCCCGGTCTCTGCGTGGCGAGTGGGTTTCTGTACCTTTACAGACGGGCAGGGGCCCGTTCCAGTGGGATGGCTGTCCCAGGATGCATCGAATGGTCACTTCGCCCATGAGCTCAAAGCCTTCGTAGCACATGAAGGTGAGGGACTCTCCCGGCAGGTAGAGCCGCTTGTACAGGATCTGGTAGCCGTTTTCGGGCAAGCCAGGGTTGTCACATGCCAGGGACTCCTCGGCTGAAATGCAAGCCCGAAACAGCTCTGATGAGGCCACGCAAATCCCGGGGGACTCCCGCTCACAGCCTGCCTGGTCCTGTTTTCGCTACCCTCGCCAGTACCTTTCGCCGGTACGGTCTCTCTGCCTTTCCCTCACCTCCGATGCTTTTCCATTCCCCAAACTCACCTCCCCATCTCCTGCCCCTGGCCACCTATTACTCATGGGCACCATCGTACGTCCCAGGATGTGGAATCTGGCTTGAAATCTGGGTTCTACTACATACCCGCTGTGTGACCTCCAGCAAGGGCCACAGCCTCTCTGAGCCTCGATTTCTCTTATCAGTAAAATGGGAATACTCTCATAGGGGTTTGGAAGATTAAATAAGGTCATGAATATAAGGCGTTTAGCATGTTCTTTTTTTTTTTTTTTTTAAAGATTTTATTTATTTATTTGACAGAGAGAGATCACAAGCAGGCAGAGAGGCAGGTAGAGAGAGAGGAGGAAGCAGGCTCCCTGCTGAGCAGAGAGCCCGATGCGGGGCTCGATCCCAGGACCCTGAGATCATGACCTGAGCCGAAGGCAGCGGCTTAACCCACTGAGCCACCCAGGCGCCCCAACGTTTAGCATGTTCTTGGCAGGTCATAGGTGCTCAGTCAATGATGGATGGCCATGTTGTCATATTATGAAATATTCTTCCTCCTCACCTTACACCTTACCTGCCCACCCAGCTTGGATAAGTCTGATCTTTCAGTACTCAGTCCTCATTTCTCCACCTCCAAGGAGTCTTTCCTGGGGTCCTCTATCCCTAATAGAGTCACTAATCTTCCTAGTTCTTCCTCTGCCCCAGCACTGAACACACTGCCTTGTATTTAATTATTTAATATCGCTTCTCCTCACTGGAGATGAACCTGTTAGGGTGTGCTTGAAGCCCGGGGCCTGCTGTATAAGGACTCTCATATATGATCCTATGCTATACAGTAGGAGCATCATAATGATGCCTGGCAGCTTAAGACATACTAGAGAATTGAACCCATTCCTGATTTAACCTATTCCAGGCTCTGGACTCTAAGTTTCCGGCTTATTACATAAATGGACTGGTCAAGACCCCATCTTCAGCTGAAATGTGGCTGGGTGATGACATTCCCACTCCAAGGATGTGCCCAAACTTCGAAATAAGACCATCAAAGGCAGATTTCCTCAACCTTAGATGCTATTAACATTTTGGGCTGGGTAATTCCTTGTGATGGGGCCATCCCCACCTTGTAGGACGTGGAGCCACTAGATCCTGATCTCTATCCTCGTGTTCCTTGTTGTGACAACCAAACATGTCTCTAGGAATCGCCACTGACACATGTCTCCCGGGAGCAGAGTCACCCTGGTGGAGAATCACTGATCTCGGCTCTTCAACAATTCCGTGTGAACTCATTCTGTTCTTTCTCAGGAATGCAACTGAGCTGGACTGGCAGTCTTGGAAACAGTCACAAACCCACCCTCACTTCTATATTCCTCCCATTTCTCCCCTCTCCTTAACTATAGGGGAAAAATGTACATTTTGGGGGAACACATTGGAACAAAATGTGAAAATCAGGTTCCCCAGGTATTGCTATGAATGGTTCGTAAAATACCCCACAAATATCAAAGCATCAAATCTGTATGATCATTAGCAACCAGTGATACCTAAGCCCTCACGGTGGGCCACACACGGTTACTAGCATCTGTATTTACGTTGGCATGATCATCCTTTTTGATGAGGATGGTGGCTTGTTTGAAGTCGTTCAACCGGCAAGTGGTGGACCCGGCGGGTTTGAAATCTGGTGCATTGAATGGCTCTGGGGTAGTGGAGGTAGGAGGGACCCTTCTTGTGCCAAGTCCCCTGGGCTGTCATGAATTCCTCTGAGCTACTGCTTTCTCAGAGACAGGAATTTCTAAGTGAAGATGGGGCACCCAGCTGGAAGCTGGCATGGGAGCCAAGGTGAGGCCGCTGGGGATGATACATCAGTGGAAACTTTTACTATGGCCTCAGTCTGGCCACGCGGGCTCTGCCCCGGTCAGGAGAGCCCCATGTCTCCTATGTGTGGTGTTCCGAGGGCAGGGTGTGAAGAGCCAGGGCCTCCTGGGAATCCCTAAGCTTCTCCCTGGGGAACCGCCCATAAAACCCTCACTGAATTTGTAGGCTCTTCATTACTTGTGGTGGTGTGGTTTTTATTTTCTGGATGGGAGCTTTGGGAGTCAGGTACCACCAAAGAAGGGAAGTTGCAACAAAGACTGCATTTAGTACTGCCAACAACATCAATGGCAGCAACAGTAGCAAGGGCTGTCGTTTCTTGAGCCTTCAAAAACCCACCTGGTAAGTGAGTTATGTATTTGGGTCTACGAACAGGTAAAGAGATCATTTCAATAAACTGCTGCAAGTGCTGTGGTCAATGCAACTGTAGGAGCCATGGGAGCTTACAGGAAGAGAAACATGACCTAGCCTAGGCAGTCAGGGAGGCCTTCCTGGAGGAGGTGATGCCGAGGAGTCATTGTTATTTCTTTCACAGACCTGGCTCTCCTCCTCCCATCTCCAATAGTCCCCAGGCTCCCTGAGAGTGTGGATCATGTCTGTTTATTTTTAGGGCTTTTGCACCATAGTTCCCAAACTGTGCTCTGAGGCACCCCAGGGTGCCACCACAAACAGCACTCCTGTGTGATTTTTCAAAACTTGGAGGAGACAAAGGAACACCTCCCAGACCCATGTGAATGGTGCCAACATTAGACAGAGCTACATTTCTTTTGATGATGCCCTGTCTTCACAAAGCTGGGTTTTCTTCAGTGGATGAAAAAAAGCAAGAGGTCTGAGAAAATCAGTGTGCAACAGAATGAAGGTGGCAGAGTCCAGTTGCCAAAATCTGAGAAGTCTGTCAGAGCCCAAGAGGCATCCACACCCCTGTAGCTGTGATTCTAGTTATTTAAGAATGCAATAAAAGTCATGGGGCACCTGGGGGGCTCAGTCAGTTAAGCATCTGACTCTTGATTTCAGCTCAGGTCATGACCTTGGGGTCATGGGATCGAGGCTCACATCGGGCTTCCTGCTCAGCGGGGAGTCGGCTTGAGATTCTTTCCTTCTGCTCTCTCTCTCTCTCAAATAAATAAATAAAATCTTTAAACAATGCAATCAAAAATCAAATCCTGGGGGCGCCTGGGTGGCTCAGTGGTTAAAGCCTCTGCCTTCGGCTCAGGTCATGATCTCAGGGTCCTGGGATCGAGTCCCGCATCGGGCTCTCTGCTCAGCAGGGAACCTGCCTCCTCCTCCTGTCTCTCTCTGCCTGCCTCTCTGCCTACTTGTGATCTGTCTGTCAAATAAATAAAAAAAAAATATTAAAAAAAAATCAAATCCTGTAATACGTGTATTACTTTTTCAAACGGCTACTAAGTTGTCAGGATAGAGCTACTTATTAAGTTGTTTGGGGCTAATTACTTAGCAGATGGAACTGTTAGGTATTTCAGCCTAGGATATTTACCAAAAAAATTCCTGAGACGCCAAGGGTACTGCGAGGGGAGAAAGCCTGGACACGCCCGTGTCTGCATTCGGAAGCACTTTTTGAATTATTGCATGAGTCACTTCCAACTGCCCTGTCTGGTAGGGAGCAGCATTCCCTTTCCACAGCTGAGGGCTTTGAGGCCCAGAGAGGGCAAGCTACTTCCCCAAGGTCACCCAGCAGAGCTGGGCGTGGGGGTGTTTGGTTGTGAATTCCAAACACTTCCTTCTCCCCATGCTTGACCAGTCAGTTCTTGGAGGACTCAAAAGACATGGTTTGGAGTCCCGGCTGGACCAAACAATGGCCTTGAGCAGGCCACCAGGAAAAAAAACTATACACATTCAGAGCTTTACAACGGGCTCTGTCCGCTGCATGAGCTTGTTGGTGGAAGATCGTTGTCAAGGGTAAAGCACCAGAGCTTTGTTCAGAAGCCAGGATTTCAGAGCGCTAAGGTGGGAAAATGCTGCTTTGGGGCTTAGTCAGTCTTCAGTAGGAATCCTGGCTTCTCCCCTTCCCTACCATGTGACCTCAGGAAAGCAGTTCACCCTCTCTGGGCCTCCTTTGCCTGCTTTTAAGTGAACACAGGTACCACCCATACAGTTTCACGAGTGTTCAGTGCACTAATGCTGGGGACGGGCTTGGTAAGGTGATGGGCAGAGGAGACGCTTGAAAGCTGTAGATGTCTGACAAACTCATCCTTAGAAACACCTCAGAATCCAGATACAGCCTGTCTCTCTCGCCACTCCCCCAGCTCCCCCACCGCCCCCACTGCCAGAATTGACCATCCTCTTGCCTCCCATCTCCTGCCAGTCTCGCTTGCTGGTAATGAGGCTGGAAGCACGTGCTGGGCTGCTGTTTGGGCTTCTGGGAGGATCACGTGTCTCCTGACACCCAGCCTGGCTCGTGACTCATTAGCACGGGTGTCAGGGAAGCCGTCACAACTGAGATTCCAGGGGAAGGCAGCCTCAGAGGGAGGGAGGCTTGTGTCTCCAAAACCCAGCAGCCAGCACAGCCTAGAGGGTCTTCGGAGGCTGTGCCTCGTTAGGGAAGTGACTTTCTTTCCTTCCTCCCTTCCCTCCTTTTCTTCCCTCCCTCCCTTTCTTCCTTCCTTTCTCCCTTCCTTCCTTCCTTTCTTTCTCTCTTTCTTTCTTAAATGATACCTCCACCTTTCAGTCCTTTTAAATAAGCTTTTATTTTCAGCTTCTCATCTCTGGGTCTCTGTAGCTGGACCGGCTCAAGCAGCTGCTGATCCCCTCACAGTCTCCTGGAGGGAATGGGAACCGCACGGGTGTTCTGGGCTGCCTTAGCGATGTGCATCTGACGGGGCGGTGGGGGGGGGCGCTTTGAATAACAGAAATGCACCGTCTCACAGCTCCGGAGGCTAGAAGTCCCAGGTCAAGGTGGCCTTCAAGGACCACACTCCCTCTGAGACCTAAGGGGAAGGATCCATCCTTGCTTCCTCCTAGCTTCCACGGGTAGATGGCAATCCTTGGTGTTCCTAGACTTGCAAGCACAGAATGGCTTCTCCCTGGGTCTCCGTGTTCAAACATCCCCTTCTTATGAGGACCCCGGTCACTGGGTTGTTGCCCAACCTAATCCTGTAGGGTCTCGCGTTAACTTGGTTACATCTGCAAAGACCCTCGTTCCAAAAAAGGTCCCCATTACAGTACTGGGGTTAGGATTTCAACATCTCCTCTTGGGAGATACAGTTCTCCCCGTAATGCCCTGGGAACTTGGCCCAAAGGTCTGGGGATTGGGAGGGGATGTGCTTGTGGGTGAGGAGTTTGGGCCATAGGATACAATTTTGCTGGGACATCCTTGCATGGCTTTGTCCCCAGTCACTCACGATGAAATATGTTGGGACAGGGCTGGTGGAAAGGGCCGTGGGATCCAAGACCAGAATCTCAGCTCTGCTCATGAAAAAGTGTTGTGACCTTAATCACATGTCCCTGTGAGTCTCAGCCACCTTTAAACAAACCATACATGCATGCATGCACACAGAGGGAGAAAGAGAACCAGGCTCCCTGCTGAGCAGGGAGCCCAGTGCAGGGTTCAAACCCAGGACCCTGGGATCATAACCTGAGCCGAAGCCAGACTCTCAACCAACTTAGTCACCCAGGCATCCCAGCAATGTGTTTTACACATTCAACAAACAGTAACTATTGTTATCTCTTTTCCCTTCTGAGCTTTGGTTTTCTGAGTATATTTGCACACACACACATACACACACACACACACACACAGACACGCTACACACATACATGCACTTACATTCACAAATGCATACAATCTGCTTAGCACAATGTCTTACACAATCAATAAATAGCAACCATTATCTGTAAAAGGGAGCAGATGTGTCTTACGTCTGAATCATATTTTATTTTACCTCTGAGACGTCCTTAGCTCTGAAACTCTAGGACCTGGACTAAAAAGGCAGATGGAGACCCATGGTATGAAGTCCAAGTTTCCTCATTGCACGGGAACCCAGAATAAGAAAGTCCCCTTTTGCTGTGCAGAAGCTTTTAATTTTGATGTAGCCCTACCAGTAGCTTCTGGAACTTGAGCTGACTGAACCCTTAATAGAGCTGCTCATAACATGCTCGTATAAAATATTAGCGCAGCTGACGGTTTCTCAAGTCCACATTGTGTGAGGCTTTCCTCCTTTTGAGTCGTCTCTTTATTCCTCTGAGCCGTGGTTCTGATCTCTGGCTGCACATCAGAACCCTGGGGGAGGGGTGGGGGAGCTTTGCAAAACCTCACTGCTTGAGCTACGCCCCAGACCAGGAGCATCAGAAACTCTGGCGAGTTTTAAAACTTCCTAAGTGATCCCACGCACATTCAGGCTAAGCACCCCTGGACCACTGCTCTCTACCCTCTCTCCCTGGCATGAATAGTAATTCCTCCCTTGTCAGAGTGACTGTGGAAGACTTTTCTTTTTTGACTCTTTATGAGTAAGAAAGTCCCAAGGTCTTTTCTTAACCAAACATCTGTGTTAGTGACTTCACATAGATAAGACCAAAGAAGAGTTTAAATCCACCAATTTCACGTCCTGTGGATGGCTTGATTGTTGGGCAGAGTCAGGTAGCTCTGGGTTTGACCTTGGCCTCCACTATTAATGGGCTGTGTGACCTGGGGCAATGATTTCACTACTTGAAACTTAGTATCCTCTTTTTTTTTTTTAATTAACATATAGTATATTATTTGCTTCAGGGGTACAGGTCTGTGAATCATCAGTCTTACACAATTCACAGCACTCACCATAGCACATACCTCCCCAATGTCCATCACCCAGTCACCCCATCCCTCCCCCTCCTCCCAGCAACCCTCAGTTTGTTTCCTGAGATGAAGAGTCTCTTCTGATTTGTCTCCCTCCCAGGTCCCTTCTTGTTTCATTTTTCCCTCCCTTCCCTCCAGGATCCCCAGCCCTGTCTCTCAAATTCCTCATATCAGGGAGATCATATGATAATTGTCTTTCTCTGATTGACTTATTTGGCTTAGCATAACACCCTCTAGTATCCTCTTCTTGCAACAGAGACAACAGTGCCTTGCTCACAAGGCAGAAGGGAGGGGCATTGTTAAAGGACTTAGCCTAGTGCCCAATACATGTACCATAAATGTTCTAGTACGCATGCCTTTGATCTGGCAGCTATGGTCGGGGGACAGTAATAACAGTAAGCCCTCTCAAACGGTGGAATGCCTCCTCCTAGCAGCCCAGCCCTCCGCCTGGAAAGAGGCAGCAAGCCCCTGTGTGCATCAAGCCAACAGACAGGACTCACAGACGCAGTGGGGCAGGCGGGACGTCCAGATGGGTGTGCCAGTCTCGCGGCTGTAGCAGGTCAGAAGAGAGCTCCCTTCCAGCACAAAGCCTGGATTGCATGTGTATTGGATGGTGGTGCCCACCAGCAGCACAGGGTCTGAAATTAAGCGGGTCGAGTGGTCCACTTCCCCAGGGTCAGTGCAGTACATAACTATGGACGAAATCAGACCAAGAGGGCGTTAGGATGCTTGATGATGACAGGTTTGCTGAGAACTACAGAATGATCTGGAAAGTTTCCCAACTTGGTTCTTCTCCTGTTTGGAAGCTGTGTCTGAGCTCATCGCTCATCGAAGGTGGCTGGAGAAGAGGATGGGACGAAAGAGACCTGAATTTAATTCCACGTATAGGAAGTAGCCCAAAGAATGTTTGCATCTGGACCCAAAGACCTATGTACAAGGTTGTTCACTGCACAATTATTTGTAATGGTAAAAAACAGAACAACAAAACAAAACAGCAACAACAACAACAACAAAAAAAGAAAAAATGCAGGGGAAGAATTAAATATGGAACAGCTGTTCTATGAAATCCTGAGCACCCACTGAAGACAGCAAAGTGAGGGGGACCTTCCCTGCTTTCTTTGTGGTACCTGAATCTAGTAAAACAAGCATCCAATACTTTTCGATGAAAAAATCAATGCCCATAAAGGGAAAACAGTAAGCCAATTAAAAAAAGAATGAAGTATGCCACATGTGTGATATGAAAAAGTATCTGGGTTTCTGAGTTGAGAAAACAGCAGTGGTAAAATATCCTTACCTATGGCTGTTTCTGTATGAGTATCTCCGTGTCTTTATATGCACAATTCACACATACACATCAATGTGTGTATGTGTAACACATGATGATTGCAACAACACAGAATAAACTTTTAAGAGTGGTATCATTTCCAGAGAGGAAGATCATGAGGGATTTTCACGCTGTACTTCCTAATTTTACTGCTGCTTGACTTCTGTAAGTAAACACCTGCGACTTGTGTCATGGGAAGATATGTTTATGTGCATCTTTTGACGTCAAGAGTGTCGTTGAATGAATCACTGGAATGAATGAATGAAAGGCATTGGTGACCCGCAGGGATTTCTGAGGGAGAACCCACTGGCTTCAGGATGTTCTGCTGTTCTTATTCCACTAGAAGAGAAGCCACTGAGGCAGGTTGGTGGGTCTCTGTCTTAGATGCACAGCGACAGGCAACCAGCACGGGAACATAAACGCTGATATCCAGAAGGGGCCCAGTGCAAATTCACTTGCTCTAATTTGGGTCTTTTCCTGGAGAAGAGTGAGGCAGCTGAAGAGTTTCCCAGAGAGAGCTAGTTTATGTCCCCTCCAAGCTTTTAGAACTCATTACCGCAATGTATATCATCATCATTATTTTAAACACTTTAAAAATCACCATCGTCATTATTCTTTTATTTACTTATTTTTTTAAGTAGGCTCTATGCTCAGCCTGGAGCCCAACAAGGGGCTTGAACTCATGATCCTGAGATCACGACCTGAGCTCAGATCAAGAGTTGGATGCTTAACCGACTGAGCCATCCAGGGGTCCCTAAAAAGATCATGATTATTAAAAATTTTGAAAAATCATTATTATTCAAAATGTTTAAAAATCTTCAAAAAATTTAAAAGCCGTTCTTATTAAAAAAATTTCAAAAGTCATTATTCGAAATATTTAAAAATCATTACTGTTTAAAAATTTAAAAGTCATTATGAAGACACGTATGTTTAAAACATTTTATAAAGTAATGATGGGGCTCAGTTGGGTGAGCGCCTGACTTTTGGTTTCGACTCAGGTCATGATCGCAGGGTCGTGAGATTGAGCCCCACATTGGGCTCCGCGCTCTGTGTAGAGTCAGTGCTCAGTCTGCTTGCCTCTCTTCCTGTGTTCCTCCTGCTTGCACTCTTTTTCTCTCTATCTTTCTAAAATAAATAAATACAATCTTGGGGGAAAAAAAAAGCAATGATGGTGTAGATCATGTTAATGTGTTTGCGATGGGTCTCACCACCCCATGGTGCTTCTCATTGTTGGTTTTTTTATTTTCCATCATTATAAACACACACACACACACACACACACACACACACACACACACACACACACGAACATACACCACATCCTGTTATGGAATAAGCAGATGTTTTTGTAGCCAATTTTGAGGATTTTTCTTTTTCATGTTTCACCCAATTATAATTAATTTTCTTTGCCATTGGAATATTTGTGACAGGGATTGAGTATAACCACCCCCCCTTCCCCAATACCCTCTTTCTCTGCGGACACTTAATATTTCTTATCATGCAACCTGTCACTCGAGGAAGGCCAAGCAGGTCTACCAAAATCCCCAAGGAGTCCCAGCAAGATGGATGCAGAATGGAGGCTTGCGTAGGAGGAGGTAGGAAGCAAATGGTTAGCGGGAAGAGGCCAGCCTCAAATTTAGCTCCTCTCCCACCTCTGCTAAGATTCAGTATAGAAACCAGAAGCACCTCCTTTTTCTGACACTGTTCAAGACACCAGATGGAGCTATAATGGGTCGTACCTGGGCTGCACGCCCGAGAGCATCAGGCAGAAGGTGCCGAGAGGCTGGGATTGGTATTCTCTGGGTGAAGCCGGTTACCTGCAACAGGGGTTTCTAACTGGGGCCCCAAAGTCCAACTTAGATTGGTCTTGAGTGGTTACTACCGGTGTTTTAATGATGAATTTGAACGATCTTTTCACACAGGCTTCACCGCATTCCCTGTTGTCTCTCCCTCAGCCTAGTTCCCTCATTTACATTAGCCACCAGGCTTCTGGAGGCCCCTGAGTCTGACATTCCTGACCTAGAACTCCAAGAAGACATTTGTGAGCAGCTCTGCCCAGATGGTGGAATAGGAGGGAGGCCAGATTCTATATGAAGGGATTCCGTTGCATCTACATGAAAAATACTCCATGGGAGGGATTTACCACCCGCTGACCCAGAAGAAGAAAACAAGATGACTCTTACTTTTCTCACAAAATGGGGGGTCGCTGCTCCAGCTGAGGTCCCACTGGCAGGTGAGGGTGTCACTCCCCACTATGTCATAGCCTGGGTCACACTGGTAGGTGATTCTGGCTCCTCTCACAAGCTCTGTATGAGAAGTGGTTTTCCAGCCGTTCTGGATCTCTGGCAAGTCTGAGCAGGAATCATTCCTTGACACCTCTTTAAAACAAAAACATTGTCATTGGATGAGTGGGGGGGCCTTTCTGTGTGGGGTTCCCTTTACAGATGTCAGAGGAAGGAGCAAATAGAATAAAAAGTCTCCAGAAATAAGTGACACACTTCGAAATCTCTTAAAGCCCAAGAACTCTGCTGTAAGAGATTTTACGATAAGCTCTTCCTGTGGGCCTCTGAACTTACCAGGTTTGGTTTGACAACGTCAGTGTAGGATTTGGGGAGACACAGAATCCTAACCCTGCCACTTACTAGCACTGTGGCTTGGGGGACAACCCAAGAAGGACAACCTTCTCTCTGTCTCAGGTCCTCACCTTTCATGACGCCAACCCCACCCTGTTATTCTTACTTCCTGGAATTCACATTCTCGTGTACTCCCTGCAATGCCCAGCAGGGCCAATGTATGCATGTATGTAATGAACAGGCTCTTTAAGAAGTGATGGTGTGTGGTTCTGGAGGCCAGGCCATCAGAGGCATTGAGAGGCTCTCCTCTTGTTTTCTGGAGAGAGCAACTGCCACACTGTGAGGCTGTTCAGGCAGCCCTCTGGAGCAATCCACATGGAGAGAATCCAAGACCTCTTGCCAACAGCTGGCATTGACTTGTGAACCACATGAGGAAGCCATTTTGGAAACAGAGGCTCCAGCCCCAGTCAAGCCCTCGAATGAACGCAACCCTGGCTGACATCATGACTGCAGAGTCATCATGACAAATGCCAAGTCAGAACCATCTGGCATGAGATCCTGAATTCTGGACCCACAGAAAGTGTGTGATCATAAATGTGCCTTGCAAGGCACCTGGATGACTCAGTCAGTTAGGTATCTGTCTTCAGCTGAGGTCATGATCTCTAAGTCCTGGTATCGAGCCCCAAGTCGGGCTCCCTGCTCAGCGGGGAGTCTGCTTCTCCCTCTCCCCTGCCCCTCCACCTCACCCCCCGCCTCTGCTCATGCTCTCTCTCTCCCAAATAAATAAACAAAATCTTTAAAAAATGTGCGTTGCTAATTTTGGGGGGATATTTTGTTAAGCAGCAATGGTAGCTAACACACTCAGCCTCATCCCAAGATTGTCTGAAAATTCATGGGTTTGATGAATTTCTAATATATGGTTTTGTGATACAGATTTAGACAAACACTCAACTGTTGAAATAAAAATAATTATTGGTGCATTCTTTAAATCATGTTGCATAACATCAATGAACATTAACCACACTCCAAAATAAGTTACACACAGCTCAGTATCACAGATTGGAATAATCCTGCCTTCCTTCTTGCAAATCCTCATTACTAAGGGAACAATGCAAAGCCCACTATTACTATTCTTGCATCCAAGTGCCCACTGCACAGATTTTGAGAAAAGAGCTAATTAGGCTGTATAATTAATCTGCAGTTCTTATATGCTTCTGGGGAAAGTCAAGCACCTTCCCTGTCTGCAGGAAGGTCATTCTGAGAAACAAGCAATGGCTTTTCCTGGGATTTCATCATGATTTTATTTGGGGAACAGAGATCTCAGGGGTGTCTACAAGAAGAAGGGGAGAGGGAAATGGCTTCTGGAATTGCTTCATGGGGAACAGGGACCTCTATTTTTAGGCCTTTGAAAAATCAGCCAAGCCCTGGATTTAGGACATGGCTGCAAATGCTCAAGCTGTGGTTGAAAGGAGGAGAAACAGGGGTAGATACTGGGTATGGGGTCTGCCTTGTGCCAAATGCTTCATGACTGAGAAAGGTTTGCTGGTCTGATTTTTCAGTCTGAGCCAGTATGGTGGCATGCTCCCGTGGGACCTCCCATCCCCTCTGTGACATTCATCACATTCCTGATGATCGAGTTGGGGACACTATGACTCAGATCTTGGCCCCACTGTTTACTAATTCAGTGGCCTTGCCCAAGTTAGACAGCCTTCCTGTTCTTCAGCTCCTAGACTCTACCCCCAGAGACTCTGATTCAGGAGTCTGTGTGTTTAGCTAGCACCTTGGATGGAGGTTCTGGCATCATTGCCCTTGTGGGCCCTTAACTTTGTGAAGAATGAGAGAACTGGCCTAGGAGTTGGAGGACTTCCTTTCTGGTCATTGTTTTAGAAGCTGTGTGACTCTAGTCATGTTGATAAACATCTCTGAGCCTCATTGTCCTCAATCGTAGAACTGAGACAAGAGTCATGACCCTGTCTATCGCTGAGGGCAATGTGAAAACTAATTAATGTGCACTATATGACACTTAGGTGAGTTCTATATGGATTCATTCATTTGTTCGACTAACATTTTGTAAGAACTTACTATATGTCAGGCACTAGGAATATGGGGATCTGAAGTCATGTTCCCAGTCTCATGGTCAAGATTAGCATCATGGTCCTACTTTTGGGTAAAAAACATACCTAAATGCACTGAGTACGTGTCGCCATTTGCCAGTCTCATGGTCAAGATCGGCAACCTGGTCTAACTCTTGGGCAAAAGAAATACTCAAATGCACTGAGTACATGCTGCCATTTACTGGTCTTATGCTCATGGCAGACATCATCCTAGGTACCACTGTCATTTGATTGGAGTTGACCTACAATATGGAGCTTACTTATTGTCCTAGGATTAGAGGAATAAGTACACAAGTGACTAATATCTCTTTGAAAAACACTGCTTACTCAGCTCTGCTTTTTTTTATTCCCTTGTCTCCATGCCCTTGGCCACAGACACTGATAAGAAGAATGATTCTTTCCTTCTGTCTAGGTAAAGCAGAATTATGGGAGGTCAGAATGAGGTAAGCCCAGAATGTTCCTGTGGAAGGTTTACCAGCAGTCCTAACAGATTAGCCTTGGCCACGTTGCAGAGCTATGTGCTGGCCTTGAGATCATTTTAGGAGCTTCTAAAATCTCTAGATGACCATAAAACCCCCTGACCCTTCCATGTGATCCCTCTTCTCAATGAGAATTGCATCTACGTCTGGTTAAATCTAGACCTGGGATAGCAACTACCTCTCCCATGCCACAGCAGACATCTCTAGTCAATCATGTCACTCTCCCTCCACGGACCTCGGGCGTGGACTCTTCAGAATTTTTTCAACATGGTCTTCAAAATGGATAGTCACAAGGAATTGATTGGCATCAGAATTAAATACAGAAGCCCACCTGCCTTCCCTGTGAAATTGAGTGTGTGTTTCCTTGACAGAAATAAGAACAGGATTGTTCTTATCGTATGTCGCCTACATTTGCCCATATTAGTTAGGCTATGTATCCCTGAAACCCTGAAACCGCCTCCCCCACTTTCACCAGCCAGAGAAATAAAGGCAGGGAGAGCGGTCCATTCATGCCTGGCTCCTGGTTCCTAGTGCAGGGGCTGGCACATGTGCAGAGACTCTTGTGGACCAAACTCTGTAGACAGTGGAGATAATGCATTTGAAGATGAAAGAAAATAGTATATGGAAGAGTTCCTGCCAATTACAAATTGTCACACAAATCTTAACTTTCAGCTTCAATGAAGAGGAACCCCTCCTCTTCATGATGGCGCCACACTGAACATTGGCCAGACTTCCGGGTTAACCTTGGGTGGCCTTGGATAGGGTCAGATTTCCACCACTGAGCTGAATGGGGTTTCAGAAGACTGACTTGGACACCGGAGGAGACAAATAAAAAAAAACTATGACCTCATCTCCCAACTGGGGAGTGGGGGGCAGGGGAATGAGGAGAAGAGAAGGTTAAGGAGAGAGACTGAAGCCAAGTCACTAGAAACTCTCCCTCCAAAGGCAGCTGACTCTGGATGGTGCCTCACTTGGGCAGCCAGCACAAGCCGTCCCCCAGTGTCCAGGGCCCTGCCCAGTAAAGAGTGGGCAACCCACAGAAAGTAGCAGCAGTAACACTCTGAAAACACTTAGCAGCACAATCAAGGGGAAAAAGGCCTCCAAGAAACATGAAAAAGATCAACACTTGTGTCTGTCCCTCTGAGAGGTGTAGGCAGAGTGGGCAGGAATGAGAAACATCTAAGAGCTAGAAACAAACACACAAAAAAGCAGGAGACTTATTTTCAAATGCATCTGGCTCTTTGAGATAGCCAAAGGTCAGAGAGGGGCTTGTGTTTTAGAGGCAAGAGGTGGGACACAGAGAATACTTCATAATAGAGATGGATGGGCAAATCTTCAAGCTGTGGGGAAGAAGGAATCACAGACGGAGAATCTGGCCCAAGCCAGATGGTTTTTGATGGTGGGTGTGATAATGGGGAGACTTGGCAAAATGAAACCCCTTCATTTCCCCCTTTTCCATCCTGGAAATCAAGATGTCTGCCTCGTTCCTGGGCAACCCAAGCAAGTTCTCTGATTGCTGTGTGAATCCTGCCCATTGAAATGCTCAGCGTGTAATCACCCACCATCCAGGATGCCAAGAGGTGAGGTCTTAAGTGCCCCCCTGTGTCTCCCAAGTTCTCTGCTGTTGCCAAGAATATCAGAGAAACACTAAGAACCAGGGGAGCCAGGAAGCCCAGGTATGAGCCTCAGTGTCTGGCCCTGAGAAGCAAGTCCTTTATCCTCGGTGGCCCAGGGCTTCTTCTGCTGTGACGTGACAGGGTTGGAGCAGAAGCTCTGTCAGTTCAAATCCTTTCTGGGGCTGAGATTAGTGGAACTTCATAGCCATGCCTGGACTGCTGGCGGCAGAAGAAGTGGGTGGTGGTGGGGTGTGGGGGTAGGGAGAGAAGGAGGTCTGTTTGGGCCATGTTAAATCTGAGATGCTGGTTAGATACGCAAGAAGGTAGCTAGCAGGGAGTTAGGTGGAAAGTTCATGGAAGAGGTCAAGGTTGGAAGTACAAATTAGGGGCAATAGAACACAGAGAGGCATTGTATAGAACCTCGGGACTGGATGACAGTGAATGGGGGATGAGTCTAGATGGACAGAGGACAGGGCTCAGTGTGGTGCTTGAGACCCTCCAGTGTTCTGAGGAGGGTGACAGAGCCAGCAATGAAGAAGAGGCGGTCACAGATGAGGAATGAGGAGAGAAGGCTGAGGATGGAAGAAATGGTAAGAAGAGGTGTTGTATGGCCAAGTGTGAACTTGGCTTGAACTTTATAGCAGTTTTTTTGGGTTTTGTTTCTGCTTTAATGTGAGAGTGATAGGAAGGGTCTGGGAGCCCCATTGAAGAGCAAGGAAGATACCTCTTGCCTCTCTGGGTCTTACAGTACAGAGGGTGGGAGAGAATGCATGGTCTCCATTGGATGGGGCTACAGAGGAAGAAGAGCCCTTAGGGAGAGCCCAGCTTCTGGTCAGGCAAGATGGTGGTGATGCTGTTTTGAGAAGTTGCAAATGCAGGAGAGTGTGCTGATGGTTTAGGATCCCTGCTGACTACAAGGGAAACACCACGAATCTGAAAATCACAAGGCATCATCTACTAGGTCCTGATATCGAGCCTCTGGAGCAGCTATCAGTTTTTTCCATTTTACAGATGACCAAAAGGAGGCTCAGAGAGGTCAAGTGACTTGCCTAAGATCACACAGCCATTGACAGCAATACTAAAACTCAAACCCTGTTGTTTCCAACCAGAGAGCCCAAATGCCTAAAAACGACACATATTTACTGTGCCAATATATTAAAAGATCCATGTAGCACAGAACCCCCCAAAAGACAGATCTAGAAGAAACCATCTAAACACACACACACTCATGCACACACAAAAGGACTAGAGGAGACACTTACCTATGTAGTTCATGATAAATCCCTGGCCCTTCCCAAAGATGAGGCCAGCGGGGTCCGAGTGGAACTGGATAGTTAAGTCCGGTGTGGATGAGTACAGCTTCTGGGGACCACTGTTCCCAAGATACTGCCCCAAGATGTGAGGCATGACCTCATCGCCATCATAGATAGTCAGGATGTCACTGTTGCTCAGGTTCAGGCTAGAGGAACGGGGCAGACAGAAGAGGAAGGGCCTTGTGAGACACAGTTATAGACATTCGACAAGCCTTTGATTTATTTTTTTTCAGGCAACATCCTCAGCGGCAAGCTCCAGGCTAGGTAGGAACTGGGGGTGAGGTAGTCACATCACAGGTATGAGCAGGACAGGCTGATCTTGCCCGCGATCACGCATGGCGCCTGGGTTTGGGGAGGGACTCACACGGGAGATGGTTCCCTGCAAGGAGCTCATTGCACAGTGGAATGCTGAATTGTAAGAGACCTGCGTTCAGTGCCAGTGAAGCTGAGCGCCGGGCACTGGCTATCTGCTGGGGGTGTGGCATGGGTTTTCCATTCTCAGAAGCAGAACATGTTGACTGCCTCCTAATTAGAATCTGCATCTCCATGTCGGGTGAAATGAGCCTTCCAATCATTATGTGGCAAAGTCCTCAAAATCAGACCTGGTATCTGTGATGTTCAGGGGATGGGGCGGAGGGCGGGACAGAGGCACTTTATTCCTGAAAGAGGCTCAAGCTGGCTATCAGGATTCATAGAGTGAATGCAGGAATACAGGCAAGGACCTTGACGCTAAATAACAGGACGGCAATACATAGTTAATAATCCAGAAAGCACTTCTGCGTGCAGCGGACACATGTGTTATGGGAGGTGTGCTGGATAAAAATGGATCTCTGATTGAAAGAATGCCAGCTACATCAGCGTTGGTTGCGGACAGGTAGTGACTCATGCCTCTTTTTCCTTCCATTCTCCTCCTTACCTTCTTTCTTACATCTTTCACTTTTTCTTGTGTCCCTCTCCCTAATATTTTTGAACACCTATCTGCCAAGCTTGGGTCAGGGGACACAAGAGTCACAGAGCAGTGGTGGATTTAGACTAGGAAACCAGGGACTGTGGTGGCGGTTATGATCCAGGTGAGTGCAGAGAGAGGAGACTGGGTGGCATCCTGGAGGCCTCCCTGGAGGAGGTGATGCTTGTTTCAGATCATCAGGAAAGATTAGAGGGCTATAGGTTGATAAGCAGGGGATGGTGAGAAGGCAAAGCACAGGTAGAAGGAGATAGGGAACGAGATCATGGCTCCTGAAGGAATTTGCCCAGTGGTCAGTGTTCCCTAGCTGTGGGTATAGACACAGAAGCTTGGAGGGCTGTAGCGGACAGACAGTGCCTGAAGAGAGCAGCATTCCAGGAAATGGTCCCCAGAAAAGTTCCTAGAAATGGATGCAGAGTACAGATAGCTCTCCCTCCTGACAGCATCACCCAGCACCCCAGGGCAGTGTTCCCCTTCCACAGTCTGGGAGGCTGGAGGAGGGGTGGAAACTGCCCAAGCCAGTGCTTCCTTCTGGTAGTAAGAACAAAGCAACAGAACTACAAGGAACATTTGTGGAAGGGTGGCTCCCACAGGGCAGGGGATGAATTGTATTCACAGTGATGTCCTCCCCAGCACCTCTCACATTCCTCCTGTAAGGTTGTCCCACGGGCCAGCTTAGGGAGATTCCAACTGCCCTCAAGACCGCCATCAGCTTCCCTTGCACCACCCCCAAAACACCCTCTCCTAACAAAAGCTGTCCATGTGTGGCTTCCAGACAGAGCTGTAGAGTCATACCCTCTGCCAGTTTCCAGCAAGGGCTCCAGCCTATAAACCCTATTGCACTGAAATTCTGGAGTTGCCACCTTCCCTTGCATGCCATTGGTGTTCCATAAATGCTTGGATATGAAAGAGCCTGCCAGAGAGTCTCTTTGATAGCAGAAACGGTGTGGTTGATGTCAGCTCTTGACCTGTGTTAGGGAAGAGCCTCTTAACTCTAAGAACTGTGAAAACATCAGTGGTTCACGAAAGCGCTGGATTAGGGTAGTATGAAACATGGTAGATCGCCAATATTTATTGCTTAAGCTGACTTCACAACTGATATACTGTTAACAGTGAGTTCCAGAGAGTCTGCAACTTGGCTTTCCTCTATCACTCATTTCAATGATCTAAATGTGGCAGAGGCATCTTCAAGGGGGCAAATAGCTTTCATTTGAAAACGCTAGCATGGTTCTTTGTGCTTGTAAAGCAGGAAGCGGCAGAGTGCACTGCCTTGGAAAGCAGTAAGCTTTGGTTAGTTTCATGGCTCCGATACTTTCACGGAAGGCACCAGTTTCTCTGAAGTTCCTAGACTGTGAGTTTCCCGTCTATGTCATGGGAAATCTGGGATCAAATGCACTGACAGCACCTGAGCAAAGGCAGTCAAGTCATTTGAATGTGATGTCCTGTCACCGTGTCATTATGAATGTCACCATCACCACCAACATCACCACTCCACCACCATCATCATCCTCACCAGCATCACTGTCATCATGGTCGCCAAGATCATGCTCCCTTTAGACAAATGTTTACTCCAAATGACATCAGATGACTTCCATTTGTGGTTTGCAACAGGGGTGGTTTTGTCCCCCAGGAGACAATGAGCAATGTCTAGAGACACAGTTTTCCCAATTGGCGGGGGAGAGTGCCACTGGGGAGGCGATGACAGGGGTACTGTTAAACATCCGACATGACACAAGGTAGCCTCCCACAACCAAGAATTATCTTGTCGAAAATGTCAATTGCGCTAAGGTTGAGAAACATTAACTTATGTGAATGCCTTTTGTAAACTGTGTGCAACAGACCATTCATTGCAACATCTATTGTCCTGGGATTTCAGCAGAAGTCCCCTAAGCTAAGAATAAGCAAAGAGCATAAGAAGAAAGCATTCCTACTTTAAAAAAAAAGCTGTTGACTGAAATTGGGTCCTCCAGAAACTGAGGTGAGCAAAGAGGAGTGTCTCTTGGCATCTGGCAGATCTGGAAGGCCACCCCAGGCAGCATGGTGAGTAAGAGAGATAGGATGAAATGAAAGAGCCAATGCGTAGTCATTGGTGGGAGACTTCCACTGCGGGCACTGGGCTCAATTCTGCAGGAATGGTGTAGAAGGTGCCTTGGGGGAGAGGGAACTGGGAATTTAGCTTCCACCCCCATCCCTCATTGGCTGAGGGCTGCTCTTAGGGGTACCAAGCCCCCAGCACTTCTGGGCTTCTCATGAGGTGCTTGCAGTAGGAAGGCATGGTGGGTACACAGTGGCAGGTGCGGCAGGGTTCAGATAGGGCCCCAGGGGCACCTGTTATCACATGAATGCATCTCTTTCAGTCTAAACCCATCCTCCCCTATCTCTAGCTTGCAGAAGGCAGAGAATTTATTGGGTCACGGAGGAGGCATGTAGGAAGGAGTGACTCAGAGACAGCATCACTTGGGAGGAGGAATGGGGGGAGAGGAGAAAGTGTATTCCCTTCCCCTTAAGCCAGGTAAGGAGGGCTTTGAGGTCACTCTTGGTGGTATAGCAGGTGTCTCTGGGGTTTGGGGAACAGTGACTGCTTTTGATGCTCCCCAGGAGAAGAGTAATGACAAAAGTCAGGCCAGAGATGTCTGCCTGCTTTGGGGCAGAGCCAAGAAAAAAGAAGCATTGGAAGTCAGATGCCTATTGTTGATAAGAGTGGACAGAATATTCACATTTTCTGGGGCCAGATATGGACTTTGAAGACAGGAGCCACTATGGGTCTCCTTAAAAGTGTTCCCCATCCTGAAAGGATGATGGGGTCGAGCAGGAGGGAAAGCCAAGAGCAGCCAGATTCAGGAGGCTTTGTCTTCATCAAGTTCCCCATAACAGAGGAAACCCCCGGCATTCTGTATCTTCCATAGCAGAACGGGGCTGTCCAGTTAGGCTTTTTTATGAGAAGGAAGCAGGCTACCCAGCCCCTTCCCACTGCAGAATTCCCAGCCCCAGGAGCCCTGTGGAGGGTGCAGGAAGTTTGAAAATGAATGAGGTTCAGGTGTTTTATGATTAGTAGACTAAGCCACACTTGTTATGACCAGAAGACCTAAAAAAAAATTGAAGCTTCTACCCTGAGAAGTGCCAAAAAACAAACACACAAACAAAAAAAATCCCCCAAACAAAACAAAACAAAACCAAAAAAAAAATCCCAAACAAACCATGAATGAAGGAACAGTGTAAGAATAAGATTATCCTCTGCCGAATCCTTCTGGATCCACCTTTTTGATGGATGGGTTCCACCAATATATGCGAATGCTGGTAATTGATCCCCTGCCCACCTCGAAAGACAAGCGTGCTTTTCACCCACCGTCCAGCCTATCTATACACCGGGGGCATCCAGGGTCCCTCTGCTGGACCGTCCTCAGCAGCTGAGGTGAAAATGCAGACTTAGCAGCCCAGAGACTGGTCTGGGGCAGAGCAGGAGCTTTCCACTGAGGACCTGAGTGATCTGTCAGCCAGAGACCATCCAGGGAGGTGCTGAGAAATCAGGATGTCAGCGTGACTCCAGGACAAATGAGAGGAGGAGAGGTGCCTGCAGGTAGGTGGGTTCGATGGGACTGGAATTGTTCTAGCAGGTGCCCCTCAGGGAAGATGCCACAGGGCCAGTCCCTGACTGCTCCAGCCCCTCTCTGCTACCCGAGGGCAAGGCTTTCCTGGAGTTCCTACCAGGAGACCTCAGCTTCTGGGTCTCCTTCTTGCCCTGTTTCCTCAGCTGCCACCTTTAGGTTCTCTCTATCCTTTTTCAGTTGAACTGTGGGACACCACCTCCTTGCCTGGCCCCGTCCCTCTCCTCAGCAGCCAGATGAGTCTTTCCAAAACATAAATCTGGCCCCTGCATGGAGCAGATGAATGGAGAAACAAAATGAGGTGTATCCCTACAATGGGCTATCGTTCAGCTGTGAATAGGAACGAGGCACGGACCCATGTTATATCGGGCGTGAACCTGACTTCCCGCCGAGTCAAAGAATCCTATCACAGAAGGCCCCAAGGTGCATGATTGCACTGTGAAGAAATGTCCAAAATAGGTAAAGCCATAGAGACAGAAAGCAGCTTGGTGGTTTCCAAGGGCTGGGAGGAAGGGTCTGGGAGGAATGGAGACCGCTGGCTTAACAGAAGTGGGGTTTGTTTCTGGGAGGATGAGAG